ATTACTAAAACTGCAAAGTTTTAAAATTAGCATCAGAGGTGTAAGTAACAAATTACACTTACTCTCGTTACTGTACTTGAGCACAGTTTTCCCTGTAACGGTACTTTTTGGAGTAGAACTAAATCATAGTACTTTTACTCCTACGTGAGTTAATTTTGATTGAAATACTTTTACTTCGCTGCTTTAATTTTCATAATGTTAGAGTAAAAATAAATTAGAGCATATCAGATCAGAAACCAGTAAGAACGACGCGCGATTTAAAAGATTCACCAATCAAAAAACAGCAGCTCCAGCAGGAAAAACACTAAAAATGTCCAGTTTAGTGGAGAAGGACAGAGAAGAACTGAACCAGCACACACGAGGAACAGACCGCATCCAAGCAGTCGTCTGTATTCATTTTCACACAAACTAAAGAAAACGGCGTCATTATTAGCGACCAAACACAAAACCTGCTGAGATCTCCGCTCTCACAACTCGACTCTGGCCTGAGGCAGCGTTAGCCAAGCTAGCTGATCTGAGCTAAACAGGTACCGTGTTTACAGGTTTCTTCTTTCTTTTATAAATCTTCCTCTCTCTGCCTTGGTGTTTGTCTTTAACTGAGGAGGCTGTGTAGCTGTTTAACCGTGAAATGCAGTAATAATGTCTGATTCTATATGAAGTGATCAGCATGATTACTAGTGAAATATATTACAGCAAAAATCAACGCTGGGTAAATTGCTGATGTTGCTGCTGATAAGCTATACATTTGTCTGCACAGTAAAAGGAGATAAAGAAAGCTCTTTTGTGTTTGCTCCTAATTAAGTCTCTAAGAAATCCTCTCTTATTTTTGATTGAGCTTTAATAGTCTGTTAATGTTGATCTCCAACATGAACAGTTCTCCAAATGTACCTAAAAAAACTTGCCTGCTGCGATCCGAGCCGCGCTGGAGCTGTGCAAATGCTCTGTTCCTACTGCACTGTAAGGCTTGAGCTGATTGGTTGAGCCCATACATGCTGTGATTGGTTTACAGTAATGTGCTTGTCATATATTTTGATTGCTAGAGTCTGTATATATGTGCATGTGTGTGTGTGTGTGTGTGTGTATATATATATATATGGGTAAAAATATCATAATCCATCATAATCATCATTTTGATCTTTAAAAAATAACATTGTTATTAAAATCTTCATGCACACAAAAACAGTAATTGTGGCATGTGCACAAGTCTGAACATCCATCCAGGAGTGAAGTCTCAGAACATAACTCATTAAACCTTAATTGACTTATTAGGACTGGCTAGGCATGTTAAGGGACTGCCTTTAGGAATTTTCAGCTGTCAACTGCAGAGTGTAATACATTTTCTGACTCTTCAAACCTCATTGTAACACTCAACAACCATGGGCTCCTCTAACCTGCAAGCTGAGCAGGGGAAGGCTATAAAAAGATATCAAATCACTTCCAGCTCGTAATTTCCACTGTCCAAAATATCATGAATAAACGGCAGTTAAGGGAAGCTGTGAAAGTCAAGTCAAGATCTAGAAGACCTAGAACACTCTCAGATGGAACTGCTTGTATGCTGGCCAGAAAAGCAAAGTAAAACCTGTTCACAAGAGTGGTAATGTGGTTCTCCTCTGCAGCATTGCACAAATGATCTGCACAGAAGAGTCTATCAGAAGAAAACTTCGCCTGTAACCTCATCACAAACATCTAAAGCATGCAAAACAGCATCTAGACAAGTCAGAGGAATTTTGGAAACAAGTGCTACGGACTGAGGTAACAAAGGAACCCTTTGGCCAGAATTATTAACACACCAAAGGTATGTTTTGAGGAAAAAAACAAAAAAAAACAAAACAAAATCAGAGCCGGATTTGACAAAATCAACAGGGTTGGATCTAATATGCTTTAAGGTTGTGCAGCAACCAGTGGCACAGGTAACATTGCGCAGGTAAATGGAAGAAAAGATTCCAAAAAATACTAGAAAATTCTGGAAGCAAATGTGGCATACTCAGTCAAGAAACTGAAGCTGAAAAGAAGCTGGTGTCTACAGCAGGACAGTGACTCAAAACATACTTCAAAATCCCCCGGGAACTACTTCAGAAATCCATGCTGAAGCTTTTAGAATGGCACTCTAGCCCCCTGACTTAAATATCATTGAAAACGTTTGGGTAGATCTTCAGTAGAGCTTGCACACGAGACAGCCCAAGAATGTTGTAGTACTAGAAGAGTTCTGCATAGAAGAGTAGGTGGAAATTCCTACATAAAGAAAAGAAAAACTTCTAGCTGTGATATGTGCCAATGGGTGTGTTACCAAGTACTGACTGAGTAAGGTGTCCAAACTTTTGCACATGCCACAACTACTATTTTGTTACTGTTCTTTTTAAGTTCATCAAATATAAAATAACTATGCCTCAACATTTTTATTATTAAAAAGTATTGTTTTTAAAAACAATTTACTTTTTTCACTCCACTAATTGGTGTGGTTTCTTTCTATATGGAGAAATCAAACCTTCAAACTTCTGTATCTGGGCTGATTGTGTCATTAACTGAGCTATCCAACTGCTACAATAATGTATTGCAATCTGTCAGAATGACAACATGTGTCAACCTAAATATAAAAACATTGCAGCGCACTGAAGAGAACTTTTGATATATGATGAGCTGACAATAAAAACACATTGATGACTTTTCTTGGACAACATCGACTTCGTCCACTAACAGTTGTAGCCCTAACCTACTACCTTTGAAACTGGGGTTCAGATATTCCTGATAAAAAGCAGTTTTTGTTAACGTATTCATCATTGATATTGTTAACTAACTGAAGTGGGGCTATTTTTGACATACTACTCATGCTGTTAAGATAAAGCAGACTTCTTTTAAGGGTGCTTTGGTCAATCAATTTATTTTATTACTGGTACAAATAACCTGAGAAATATGTAGAACATGATTAGAAAAAAAAAAATTGTTTTAGCAATGCCATCAGCACAAGTGTATTGTGTGGCTGAGAAAACATGTTTGGAAAACTGCAGGACATAGTAGAGGGCTCCTGTCAGTCATTTAACAAGACATCCCACATTAGTCCGCCCATTAAGAAAACATGGCGGACCTGTGCCAGCAGGTTCTAGTACCGTTGGGGGGGTAAGAAAGGTGCTAAAACAAGAATCAACATTAGCACTGCCTTTCAAAGGCTAAGAAAATTATTATACGCAAAGTGGAATTAGCAATGTTCCTGGACAGGTATGTAAATGCAAAACGTATAAAAAGAGCTTAACTGTTTGCATAGCCAAATTTATTCAAGTAGATAAATCTTTAGCACGCAGAGAGCCTGATAAAGTAATGCTTTGGATTCTAGATGAAGCTGAAGTTAGCTTCTTATTCAGATCTTAAATGCTGCTGTAGAGATATTTGCCTGGTAGTGACAACTTATTGAAAATCTTGTAGGAACACATTACATATAAAAACAGGACAATTTTGACTATTTTCACAGCCGCAAATCAGTATGAATTTATGAATGGCAAATGTTTATAAGCTTGTAACTTAGCTATCCCCCTGGACACAGAAGTTTAATGTCGCTCTGGCCAGGAGTTGTGGCTTTACAAAGAAGTATTTTGAGAGTGCTTGGATTGCACGATTAAATGAAAAGTCTCTCAGAGTGAGTTAAATGCAATTTTGCAACCATAATTTACCAAACATAATAAATCAATACTTTGCTCAGGGGAGAGCATTTTTTAGCTCTCTCTTGATGCTTATGTTGTTCAGCTAGGTTCTACAGTAACCTTGAGATAAACTGGGCAATAGCCATGTTATTTACTATTGTTAACGCAAGTGAAATTGCTGTTTTAGCTTTGAAAAAAGACTGCACTCAATGTGCTCTTTATTGAGTATTTTGATCTTGTCAATGCCATAGTTTTATCATCTATATCTGAAAAATGAAGTAATGCAAAACCCCTAATCATTATCTAATAGTTTGTTAATGGTTGTTAGTAATTACATAACAATAACATTCTACCATTATAATAATTAATTATTTAGTGACATACAGATGACAAATGTACAAGGTAGATGCATTTGGAGCTGCAGTGCATCGCTGGCTTTTCCAAGAGAGTAAATGTTTGGTCTCAAGATGTCTCTAGTTTTGAGGCTTTTTGTGATTCATTTGAAAGAAACCACACTCCACTCACTTGGCTTTTGGATTAGCGTCATCACAATTAACAATAATGATAAATCTTATTTGGTATCTGCTTCTTTGTCACTGATTTATCAGTTAAATGAGTTTAACCACTCAGGTCGCTGATGTTTGACCAAGTTGAAATGTGAGTTGAAATCAAACGCATCTCTTCTCTATTATTTTATGGCTCGTCTATTGTTTTTAACAGCAGCTTGTGCTCAGTGTCTAAAAAGTCAGTCATTAAAACATTATGCTGACTGTACAGTGCCAACGTGGCGCTAGAAGAGAAAGAAAGCCATCTCTGTTGATGAATTCCCTCGTTTGATCATAGAGCGTGCTTTCATCAGCAGTGAACTGAACAGGGTTTGGTTTGAAGAGGACCGAGAACCCCGGGTTTCAGCCAGACTGGTTCAGCTGTTTGCTGTCTGCATTGCGCACCCGCAGATGTCTCAGGCTGATGACATTTAATTAGCACACTACTGCAAGGTTTTTATTTGTATGTCTCCATGTTAATATTTTTATTTGTTATACATGAAAACATTTCATTCTTAGATATTTAATTATTAAATGAATCGTTTCTCCCTCCGTTTTTATGACTTACAGAGACTTTACTGGCCTGAATTACTGCCTCCCTCTGAGTACAGGCCCACAGACCACTAGAGGATGCTTTCTGGCCCACAGATTAAGAAACCCTGGTTTAGCCTACCCTCAGCAGTTTTGCGATTGGGCTGTCGCTTCAAGCCTTTACTTACCGAAAAAAAGCCTGTGTAGCACAGAATGTTTTAACTAGCTTTTCGTTTAATAGTGTCATTTTGACACCAAAAAAAAGGGACTGTTTAAAAAAAAAAGTACATACATCATTTGGAATGGTCATCTCATGGGAACCCGTCTGGTCAGAGGCATCTAGTGCAGCTGCAAGGTCAGATTAAACTCAATTAGTCACCATCAGAAAACCAAGAAAATTCCATGACAACCGTCATGGTATATTTTGTAATTTGTTTTGGTTTTTAACAGTAATATTTCATAATAACAGGCCCTTATAAGGAGCAACTTAATCATTATCTAATAGGTTGTTAATGGTTGTTAATAATTACATAACAATAACATTCTACCATTAATCATTTAGCGACATACAAATGACAAATGAAATGATAAAAGTCTAATCATTGATGGTGTTTATCAATTATTTTATTTTACATTACTATTACAATTCATAATAATATATTTAAAATATTAAGCATTTACTTGAATAAAAACATTTTCAATTCTAAAAAACTACTTTGTAATTGTATACATCATTTTTTTAAAAATTTAAGTAGTTATATCTACTTCTATATTATCTTGCTACTATGTAATGCATTCATTGTTAACAAATACCTTTTTAAAATACTAATAATCATTCATTTGATCCCTGTTTTGGATTGTGAGACTCACTTTAATGTGTTTATAAATACTATCAACAATAAAATGAATAATTACTTAAAATATGTTTTACTTATTACACTTGAACTGAATTTATTCATGAAAAGCACTTATAAAACACTGAAAACATAGAAAGTCAACAGAGGTAATCAACAAAAGATCATTAAAAAAAAAGAATGCAAAAACCCTCTTTATTCAAATGTAGTGTCCACAAATACATTATTGTAGTGGTTCCCATGCCTTTCCTGGAGTACCCCCAGGACATTTTGGTGTTAGCTCTGCTCCCAGCACACCTGATTCAACTCATCAACTAATTAGCAAGCCCTTCCTGAAGAGGGTATGTCAGAGCAGGACAACACAAAAATATGGAAGACAGGAGGTACTTCAGGACTAGGGTTAAAAACCTGCACTTTATGGAAATGTTTACCTATGCTTTACATAAAATGTTTTATGGAAAAGTCGTCTGTGCCACAAACATTTGACATACAGACAAGACAAAAAAGACTTGCATTCATGACTTTCAAAGTGAAATGAACAAAACTACAAATTAAGTGTATAAAGAGCATTAACTGTATTTTTTTTTGTTTACATCAAATACTATTTTAATGCCAGATTTATGGCAAAAAACAAACATACACAAGGCATAGTCATAATACATTATTTCATATAGAGCTAGTATCTCCTTATCATGAAGCCTACCTGTAAAACCTTTGTTGCTAGGTGTCAGCTGGAGAGGACTCTGCTGCATAGCTAGCTGGTGAAGTTTGGTAAGCTGTAGAAGTGGAAAGGCAGAGGGCAAGAAAACTGTAATCCGTGTGACAGCAACACTGCTAACTAAATGCAAAACCATATCACAAAACCGCCATTAGGACATGCAGACATTATTTTGAGCCTATGAAATTCCTGGAGGAATGGGTGAAAAATACTGCTTGCCAACCAGGACAATAAAGTTAGAACCAGAATGTCAATGGCTATCATGGTATGGATTTGTCAATGTAACAGTAGCCCATTATCGTGTCCGATCTACAAAATATGTAAAACTTCACCTTGAACTGAGAACTTTGTTTATTTATTTATTTATTTTAAATAGAATTTCTCTTACAAGCCATGGCACACTGACCCAACATTCCATTATGTCCAGCAAATATAAACATTTGTTTTTTGTCGCATACCTGTCTGTAATTGTTCTGAGAGACTAGAATGTTCTCCCCCATTCACACTGTTGGATGTTGTGTTCTCCCTCCTTCACACTGGTTTGTTTGTTAATAATTTACTGGGAAATAAGTCATAAGAACCACTGCATTGCAACATGGTTAGGTTTGCTGGTCAAGCGAGGCAACAGGCAACACATAGCCAACATAACTCCAGGATGTGAAGAACCCACCGCAAACAATGAACACCTTAATAAAATGCCCAACAGCCAGGCCCTTTATTTCTGGGAGGACAGATGACAAATATTCCAGTGACAAATGTAAAATATCTGGGCTATCATTAACTTTTTAAACTTCTTGAGACCACCGGTAGGTTCCAAAACACACTTTGTCATATTCTTCATAACTTTCATATTTCATAAGCTACATTGAAAAGGTGGGTGTCATTTGATAGCTGTATCTGTCTTCTTTTCAGTCAAATAGATGGGTAATGTAATTTTAAACCCTTATAATAGAAGAAGCTGAACTCACAATTTTTTTGTCTACTGAAAGTTGACCCATTTTTCCACAAATCTGGGCTATAAACTATCTTCAGTGAGATGCTCTGTAAAAATTATTTTTATAAAAAAATACAAAGAGCGTCTTTTTTGGCTTTCAGCAGTAAACTATAAGCATACAGCAATATGTGTATGATCATAAAACACATTTTCTGTTAATTTGAGGGTAACTTTTACAAAACAATTAATGAATAAAATAAAAAATGACATTTATTTCATGCAGTTACTGAATAATTTGCCTTACGATTTGGTTATGTAAATTCTGATGGAAAAAACAAAATATACCCTGTTGCATAAGAGGTTAAGAAACCACCTTAAGCAATGACCTTCATATTAAAAGCTTGCATTTTCTTACTGTAACGGCCAGAAACAACGTTGCCCAGACAGACCGGTTTACAATCTACTCCACACTGACCAGGCCATGTTTGGAATATGGTATGTTTTTGTGGGTTGTTCAAAGAAACAAGAGTTTGTTTTAGAACGTGTCCAGAAAAAAAAAGCAATCAATATTATGGTAAAATCTAATTCTGCTCTAGTCCTTCCGACAGCAGTCAAGATGAAAAAAGCTGCTGTAAAACTTATACATGACATGTCTGCTTTCAGTCATCCTTTGAATGACTAATGCCCACAGAAAAGACAAACAAGTCTGGCAAGGGCCCCAAGAATCAAAATCAACTGACATGCATTGCTGCAAAAACTAACAGACTGAGAAACAGAACAGTGACAAGAGATATTAGGTTTTTTAACATCAACTGTGAATATTTATTATTTATATGTATTACAGCTGGGGCTATATAGTATTTTAGTTCTTAGTTTAGTACATCCAGTTTTTCTGTTTACATTTAAATTTCGGTTATATGTAATGGACAGTTAACTGCTTATCGTGTACTCTTCTGCTCAATTCTGTATTTAACTGTGATGTAGACTGAAATAAATAAATGTAACTTTATGTGCAAATAATAAGGCGACCTGGCATGTGGTTAGGTAGGGGCAAACAGAGCCTTTAAGACCACTTACATCAGGTTGGGGGATCACATGCTGTCCTTGAATGGCATATGCCTGTAATCAGAAAACAGTGTTCAAGAACATTCTGCACATTTAACTTACAATAGAGTAACACAGGACTTATTAGCTAAAAAAAATATGAACAAACACAAAAACAGTCCCCTCTAAACAAGTGCTACATACCAGACTATGTCTAAGCATTGACATCATTGATTTGAAGGCAATGTTTATGCTGTGTCAGCACACATTGTCATACCTTTAGTGTGAAGACAGAGCCTAGTTGGGCAAACCACCCATGTAGATTTTTTGTGTACTGTGTTGTTTTCTTTTGTCTATACTTATTTCTACCAAAGATGGAACCAAAAGCTGCAGAAGTCTCTCAAATTACAATGTAATGTTTTTAGCTTCAGTACACCTCATTCAAATAATCATCTAATTTTTAGACCCTTCATGAGTTGAATTATTTGGGTTAGGAGCAAGAATTTTATTTGTCAGAAACAAGCTCTACTGAGATACTGGTTTAGTTTTGCAATGAGCAAGCTAAACACGACTGTTAGAAAAATTCCTGTTTAAGGCATGTGGAACAAAAGACCTCAAAAAGTCAATTCAACCACCTCTGGCACTGAACTATTTAAGCACTTTTAAAATGGCATCGGCATGTAGTGGACAGATGTGTTAAACTACTGCAACTACCTGTCCTCCAGCGAAGATCACAGGGGAACCAGATGGCTTGGGCCTGTATGGGATGGTCACACCTTTTGGAGGAGACTACAGAGAAATGGTGCCTTTGAAGTATTGGAACAGTTAAACATAAGTAATAAACATAAGTGCTTCTCATGTCCAACCTCTGTGAAGCTGGCCCCCATGTGGTCAGAAATGGAATAAAAATACTATTATTTGTTTGTGCTGCGTTTGTGCTGGCAGCGTTTTTAAGAAATTAAACATTATATTTTATTACCTGTGACGTGACTTAGCCCCCATCAACATGTAAATCACACAAAAATGGTCTCATTTTTTGTGCTACGTTTGTGCTGTCTAAAGCAACATTTGTGCTATTTTAATTCTCAAATTATAAAGCCACAGTGTTTCAATGAGTGACGTCACTCAGCCCCCCATAAACGTCCAGATCATGCCAAAATGCTCTCATTTGTTTGTGCTGGTTTGTGGCCTGAAAAGAAATATTTGTTCTGTTGTATTTATAGGCTAAAAAATAATATTAGAAAACATTTTCTTGAAAATGTCTAATTCTATTTCTTTTAAACCTTTTTCCAGAATCAGAATGATGTTTTTATATGTTAATAACAAACAATACAGATGTGCTATTATGCTATGGTTTTAACTTTTCTCACATTACATTTTTGACAAAGAAGCACAACAAAAGACAAGTAAAGCTTTCAATGAAAAAAACACTAGATTTCAAAAATAAGCTTTATAAATGTTCCAGACTAGATTATTTTATTATTTATTAGATATTAAAGGTAGTTTTTTAATATTTAATATTTCTTTCTTTTAAGATTTAACATTCTAGCTCAGTTCAGTCATCCAGATGGGCAAACTTAAATTACTTAAAATTACTTTAAGTACAGCTTAGAAATTTTGTATGGTTATAAAAAATTAAATTAAAGTGTAATCTTTATTTGATTTCTTTTTTTTTCCATGGAAATCCTCTGAGCCTGGTTATGTCATAGTTGGTTGGCATGGAATCAAAAGGGAATATCCACAAAAATTACAGAGCTGTTTTTAGGATGAAGCCCACATTGGTTGGTGTTAAAATCTATTGTGTTCTTGGTGATCGCAGTAAACTTTTCAATGATATCTGGTGAGCATTTTACACAAATTAACACCAGCACACGATACACTGAAAGCATTAACATTTGTATTCCTTAAAATACGTGCAATCTCACAAAAACCCTTGAATCGTTTTGAAAATGGTTTTTGAACAGCAAACAATTTTTAATCATTAGTTTTAGTCAGCTCTTGACTTCTACTCAATGCAATTTTGAAGTTGAATAATTAAAGCTGAAAAAGCCAGAAAACTCTGTTGGGGACATTACCTTCTCAGGAGGCAAAAGTGCGTTTCTCAGATCTTCAGCATCAATCAGTGTCACTTGTGTGGTAAATGATGTCATTGCATGTGACGAAAACTGTTTATCCAATAACTTAATTTAAAGAGTACAAATATTTCTTTAAGCAGCACAAACAAACATAAATGCAGCACAAACAAATGAAACTGTTTTGATGGGATCTGGACCTTGATGGGGGGCTGAGTGACATCTCTTATGATAAGCCTATAACTGGATAAATACAACAGTACAAATATTCCTTTAAGACCACAAACCAGCACAAATGCAGCACAAACGAATAAGACCATTTTGGACGGATTTAGACGTTGATGGGGGAGTTACATCACTTATGATTTTTGTTTATCATTATTATTATTTTTATTTTATTATTTATTTATTTTAATAGCCTATAACTTGATTAATACAAGTGCACAAACGTAGCATAAATGAATGAGACCATTTTGGTGCGATCTGGACGTTGATAGGGGCTGAGTGACGTCACTTGCTGAAACATTACGGCTTTATAACTTGAGAATTAAAACAGCACAAACATTTCTTCTAACAGCACACACGTAGCACAAAGAAATGAGACCATTGTTGTGCGATTAAGACGTTGATCCGGCCTGTGTGATGTCACAGGTAATAAAATATAATGTTTAATTTCCTCCATTTGTCAGCACAAATGATTATTTCTACAGCCCAAACCAGCACAAATGCAGCACAAACGAATAGTAGTATTTTTATTCCATTTCTGACCACATGGAGGGCCAGCTTCACGGAAGTTCATGTTCAAAGCACTCTGGATTATGAAAATCAGAACATGTGCAAAAAGCTGAATTACAAATTGCTGGCTTTTTTTTTTTTTAGCATTCCACTTGAATCTGAAAATGATTTGTGTAGCAGTACACTTATTTGTAAGATATTCTCAATTTTCTCTCATTTTTCCATAGCAATATGACCATGATGACTTCTGGTTAAGACAGATAGTTTAATACAGTTTCATTTGTGAACCTTGTCTTCACAAAGCATTGATTTGATGTGCTTCACTAGAAAGAAACATCTTGTGCAAATGTATTTGAATTGAAACATGCTCGCCAAAAAGCAGTCGAGTGTTTAGTTTTGAGAAACTGTTCCTGAGTGTTCCAAAATCAGTTAAGCACTTGCCAGATTCATGACATGACTGAAGCAACCTAGCAAATCCTGACCACTGTCCCTGCACTGATAGTGCTGCATTTGTTGTGCCTCATAAATTTGAGAAGGGTCTGGCTGCAGACCTCCAGCAAGAGGCCCAGCTCCAGTAGAAAAATCTGGTGATGTCATGTGGGGTCTCTCACAAGTTACGTTCATTTTTAAAGCTCCTCGGCGTTATTGTTGTTTACAGCAGTAGCTTATCACTAACTAATGCACACTTACAGGTAGATTAGTGTACTTACTGTTTTTTTATGTTCTACTCTATCAATGGATAAATCTAAAGTATAAGTAAGTAACAAGCTAGTAGTTAAAGACGTTTTCTTCCAAAAAAACTCATGAAAAATGTTTTTTGTAATTCTTTAAGTATGAAGTAATATAAAAGGGCTACAGAAAGTTGTTACATTCATGTTCTTTTTCCCCTTAACACATTCTTACTTATCCACCCACCCAACAACCTACCCTTGCCCACCCACCAAGCATTAAAGAGGTAGGGTAGAGAGGTTTTAATAAAGAAGAAAGGGCAATCACATATACAAAGTCTGTAGACGTAAAGATAAGTATTACTGCTGACAAAAAAAAAAAAAAAATTAATACAGAACACAGAAGTACACATAACTATCGAGATGTATTTAAAATGCCAAAACAAAAAAGGAAAAGAAAGCCCAAGTATGAAAACACAGCTGTTTGTCTTTTGAGCATAAATCTCATTTTCTCCAGATACAGGAAGCGGGCTTCTTCTTTTAAGAAGGAGGGGATGACCATTTCCGCTGGATGAAAATAAGACATCTAGCTAAAACAGTGCAGAATGCAAGAACTTCAGATTGTGAAGCAGACAAAGAAGTATTCTTAAGAGTTAGACCGAATAGAGCAACTGAGTGGCAAGATTCAATGTTTATATCTAATTTAAAAAAAAAACAAACACAGACTGCCAAAAGAGAGTTAGGGCACATATGACTCAAGGTGGCTGGGGCTTGATGACATCCATCACAAAGTGGACCCAGGTTGGGGTTTATTTTAGCAAGTTTTACTTTTGTCCAGTAGAGTCAATGAACCAATTTTAACCGGATCAAGTTGTGTTTAGCACATGTTGAAGAGCTATGAATGCAAAGTATAATCTTTCCCCACTCTTTGCCATCAAATTTTAATTGTAAATCATGTTCTTGCTGTTCTTTAGTAAGGTCAAATCAGAAGGGGCTAAAGAAAATATCAAGTTAAATATTTTTGAAATAATTCTTTTGGTATTAACTTCAATCGCAAGATACACTATATTGCCAAAAGTATTCGCTCGTCTGCCTTCACACGCATATGAACTTGAGTGACATCCCATTCTTAAACCATAGGGTTTAATATGATGTCGGCCCACCCTTTGCAGCTATAACAGCTTCAACTCTTCTGGGAAGGCTTTCTACAAGGTTTAGGAGTGTGTTTATGGGAATTTTTTACCATTCGTCCAGAAGCGCATTTGTGAGGTCAGACACTGATGTTAGAAAAGAAGGCCTGGCTTGCAGTCTTTGCTCTAATTCATCCCCAAGGTGTTCTATTGGGTTGAGGTCAGGACTCTTGTGCAGGCCAGTCATGTTCTTCTACACCAAACTCACTCATCCATGTCTTTATGGACCTTGCTTTGTGCACTGGTGCGCAGTCATGTTGGAACAGGAAGGGGCCATCCCCAAACTGTTCCCACAAAGTTGTGAGAATGAAATTGTCCAGAATCTCTTGGTATGCTGAAGGATTAAGAGTTCCTTTCACTGGAACTAAGAGGCCGAGCCCAACTCCTGAAAAACAACCCCACACCATAATCCCCCCTCCACCAAACGTTACACTTGCTCTAGAGACCAGTGGCGGCGTGCTTTACACCACTGCATTCGATGCTTTGCATTGCGCTTGGTGATGTAAGGGTTGGATGCAGCTGCTCTGCCATGGAAACCTATTCCATGAAGCTCTCTATGCACTGTTCTTGAGCTAATCTGAAGGCCACAAGAAGTTTGGAGGTCTGTAGCGATTGACTCAGCAGAAAGTTGGCGACCTCTGCGCACCATGCGCCTCAGCATCCGCTGACCCCGCTCTGTCATTTTACGTGGCCTACCACTTCGTGGCTGAGTTGCTCTCGTTCCCAATCGCTTCCACTTTGTTATAATACCACTGACAGTTGACTGTGGAATATTTAGTAGCGAGGAAATTTCACGACTGGACTTGTTGCACGGTACCACGCTGGAATTCACTGAGCTCCTGAGAGCGACCCATTCTTTCACAAATGTTTGTAGAAGCAGCATGCCTAGGTGCTTGGTTTCATAAACCTGTGGCCATGGAAGTAATTGGAACACCTGAATTTAGGGGTGGGAATCTTTAGGCACCTCACGATTCGACTCGATTACGATTCAGAGGGCTGCGATGCGATTATAAAACAATTATCGATGCATCTTTTTTCTCTATACAGGATTTCTATCTTCCTACTGTCTGAGGACTTGGTAGTTTTAAAGCAAAGTATTTGTAATGATCCATAATGTAAATGCA